CACATGGCCAACCATGGTTCGAGTTCTGGACATGGTGGTTTGCTTTCTCTCTTTACTTTCCCTTTCTCACTCTCTGGTCAAATTAAAAAATATGTAAATAAATAAATAAATGGAATTAAATACATAAATAATTCTTTAAGTAACAAACAAAAAACTCTCTCAAAAAAAAGCTCATTGAGTAAAAATTCAGGTTTATATAAAAGGTAAATTATGATATTATTTACTGCATTAACGGATCTTTGTTTTATTTATTTATTTTTTAAGAGAGAAATTTGGTATAGGGCGTGTGTATTGGCCTGAGGGACAGAAAGTGAGAAATCAACCCTGAGGGGGGAATGGCCATACTACAATCCCTTATCCTTCATTCTTCTCTTGGGACTTTGGGTATACACACACGTGTCCAGCATGAGTTTTAAGCTGCTGGGTTCGGGACTTGAACCATTGTTAACCACATGGAAGTCCAGCAATGTACCCATTATGCCATCTACTGGTCCCAATCTTTGTCATATAAATATTTTGTGTAGATATCTCCATTTAAGTGCATGTTTCCATTAAAAATTTAATTATTATATATTCTTAGCACTTGCTATCTTATATACATTACAGTAGAAAGAAAGTAGACAAGATACAGTTTGAACTTCAAAGAACTTAATGCAGCACTAATGGAGGAAATGAAGAGAAATAGTAAGAAAAGCAAAAATAAAATAGAATAAAATAGGAAGCCTATTGCAAATATATGTTGCTCTGCAAGTTGTAAACAAAACAAAACAAAACTAGTAAGTGGGGGAAAGGAAAGATCAATAGATAAAGCATAGAGAATTTTTAGGGAGGTGAAACTACTTATGTATATACATATCACTGTAAATTTATTCAAGCCCGTAGGATGAACACCAACAAAGAATCCTCATGTAAATTCTAGACTCATGAGTGATAGTGATGTGTCAATGTAGGTTCATCAACTATAACAAATGTTCCCCTAAATTGGGGGATGTTGGTAATGAGGGAGGTGATACATGTATCAGAGCTGGAGATATATGAGAAATGTCCATACTTTGCCCAATTTGACTGTAAACCTAAAACTACTTTAATAAACAATAAATAACTACTTTAATAAATAAAAACCACACACAATGAAAGGTAAGACACTCATTGCCAGAATCGGATTAAAGGATACCTAGACTTTTATTAGGTAGAAAGATAAATAGAATGGAAATAACCATATCTTCTTTATCTAGGTATGCATGATGCAAAGCACCTTCTTGCCCGAGATTTAGGATACTCATCATAAATTGCTAAAAGAAGAGGCTAGGAAAGGAAGAAGGGCCAGGTCATGAAGTAGCTTGACAACCAGACTTAGGGAAAAGAGGGATGGATAGGAAAGACAATTTGGTAGTGAAAAGTGTAAGACTTAGAACTTGAGAGTTAATGAAAAGGGAGAGCCTGTATAATGAAGAGAAATTTTCAGAGTAGAGTCAGAAAGAGAAACTCATGGACACATGGTTAAGAAATTCTATAACCGAAACTGACGGGCTAAAGAATGTACAAACACAAGAGATGGGTGTGAATGCCAGATGTGGTGTGTGTGGAGGAGTGGGGCCTGGGAAAAAACATTTGCAGGAGGGATACAGAGACAGCATTGTTGAGACAGGGAGGTAGTATTGTTATATTTTGATCAACTCGACCGGGGAGAAATGTTCACATATTGAAATGATCACCTTGTAAGCTAAATAATGTGATTGAATGTATTAAAAAATGTAAATAAAATAAAAAATAAATCCTTATGAGACATTTTTAGAAATACATTTATTGATTAAAAAAGAAGTTCCATCACACTTTTAGAAAGGTGTTCAGTGTATTTTCTTTGGCCACCTAAGAAACAAATCCAGGTAAACCAAAGACAGTGTTACATTATACAAATAATATAATAAGATCTGTGTTTATGTCTATTAAATAGAGTCAATGATACTTAGAAGGAAACATAAGATTTAATGGAGCTTCATATTGATACTTATATCTGATGGCTTAAGACCATAATAAATACTACTAATAAAAAGCTATGACGTGATTCACATTAGTGCTATAATGAAGAGTGGATGACACTATTCTTTTCATCTCTGTTGACTAAGGGGGATGGAATACTAGTTTTCTTTCAAAAAGTTTTTTCTACCTTAATAAAAAAAATACAAGAATGTCTCTAGAAGTGAATATTTTTCAATGGACTCTTGACTGTTATCTACAAAATTGAATTCATTTTGGTAAGGAGGGTGAATGGATACTGACTAGACCACCAGCGATGTGCGCCAGAGTTTGTCATAGGTCAGGATTGGTGATTCATATATGTCGTCCTTTAATCCATAAAATCCCGTATATTTGGTTTTATAATAATCTTCATTTTAATGATGACAAAATTTGGAATTAAGGAATTTAGGTAACTTGTCTCCAAATTAAACAACTGCCAAGAATTCCTGAATGAGGAGAGCTGCTGTAAAAATCATAAAGGACAAATGAATAAATAGAACTTGTGTTTAGGTGTCAGACTCAAAAAAGTCTTGACAATTGATTGGATGTGTAATTGTGTAGATATGGGACTAGGAGTTATCTAGTATGACCTCAAGATTTCTGGCCTGCAAATCACGTGTAGAGTTGTTCCACTTTTTGAGTTAGGGAATACATGAAGCTACACTTAGGAACAGTGTTTGAGATGAGTGCAAGATACACAAGAGGGTAGAGTTAATAGGCTGCTGATTATGAGGATCTGGAGGCTTAGAAGACAGGAAGGAACTCAAGATAAAGCTTTTGGAGTCATCAGTTACAAATGAATGATTAAAGACATGGATGAGTATGTAATATTGCCTAAAGAGTATGTGTAGAATAAAAAATGAAAGAGCTACATGTGACACTCAGGAGAACAGCAGCCTCTAGGTGGAACGCAGAGATAGAAACTCACAGAAGAGACTGATAAGAGTACCAAGAAGTAGAGATTCCTCAGGGTATACACAATTTCATTTTAGAGTTCAGCGATGTCATTTCTTTATGAAATAGTTATTATGATATTGCATCACCTCTGCATCTCTCTTCTGTCTTTAGAGTATTAAGCAGCACATTTTGCATTTCTATGGTGGGGGCGAAGCTTTCATACAAACTGCCAATGCATGATGTATGATTGACATGAGTATTTGTATACTTGCTTACAGGTAAAGTTTCTGGTGAAATATTGGTGAAATCTTCAAAATCATGAACATTTATCTTTTATATAATCCTAGGGTCAGAGACAGGGGAAAGGGGCCTTCTATCTTCATTACTACTTTTATCCTAGAAGTCATTCACAATCTGAAATGATAGTAACTTTGAAAGGTTTATGCAAATATATTATTTACCAATATGTTGCTCAAATCAAGAATTTATGTTAAACATAGATATAGTTAACAGAAAGGTTTATTATATAAGTTTGTATTATTTATTCAATAAACTGCCAAATAAGTAACTCACAATTCTGGGGACTATTTCATTAGTGTGCATATGTATTATTTGGTTAGTTTTTCAATCCTTTTTATAAGTATATACTGTTGGAACCATAACTAGTCTATTATTTAGTCAGTTAACTGCAGTGCAAAAGACTTTGAAAGAACTTTCATAAAAATAGCATTATAGTCATCTCTGATGAATTTAGTGAAGCTGTATAATCCTGGAACAAAGTTTCTGGTTTTCTTCCTAGTTGAATGTAAAATGAGTTACAAATTTTTCAAACGGTATTTAGTAATCACAGACCTATTCAAAAATAGATCAGAAATTTTAAAGAAAATAATTGCTTGAAAAACCAGTGGCACTGTACTTAAAATAGTTGCTCAATGATGTAGGAGTAGACCTGTGGATTTAAGGCTCAGCCGTGGTGGCAGAGTAGTAGCTCATTGAACTGCAAACTGGAAGCCATATGGAAGACTGGGGTCAGTTCCCAGGTTGACTTGTACGTACTAGGTGCACCTGTGTGTGTGTAATCTTGGCTGGCTGGGATGGCTGGGTGTAGTATCACAGTATGTGACCCTACTGAGGGTGCTTGTATTTCTCTTTTTCCTCACTCCCCATCTCTTGCTCATAAAATAAATATATAAGCATATGCAGCTATTTATTTTTTTGAGTGCAAATTTTAGATAGATAGTAGTTTTATATCTGGAATAGAGTCTGTTTGATTATTTTCAATGTCATGCCAAAATCAGTTTTCTTATTTTAAGCAAAGGAAGAATAAAGTATACATTTTTTGGAGTACTGTGAAGAATTCATGGTTAATCTAATTTGTACTACTAGAGATAAATTTACAGTACAAAAATGTTTAGTATATCCTATTTATGACTAATCCATGATTGGTAAATTGACATATAAAATGTTTCAAAAACACCTCCAAAGAATCTTCTCAACGTTAGTTTAAAAAGTATGCAGATGGTGTGGTGGTTAAGGTGCTGGACCTCACATGGCCGACTCCATAGTTTGAATCCCAGACCTGGCAGCTTGGACTCTGCAGTTTGAAAACCATGCCTGACACACATGCATGTGTGCCCAAAATCTCTAGAGGAGAATGGAGGATAATCCCCCAGGGATCAGTTCTCACTTTCCCTCTCTCCAGCAAGCCCACTCACCCTATGGCAAAAATATAAAAAAGAAACAACAACAAAAGTATATCTTCTAGCCATACTCTCCCTATTTGTATTAACTATGAATCAAGTTACTTTTTGCCACTTACTAGATAAATGGGGGTATGTGTGTCCACAAATTTTGTGTACTACTTCATATCAAATAATTTTTTAAAATTGTATAATCATAATACCTTGGCCTAGTTTTACTTAGATTAAAATTTGTAGCCATTGAAGGAATTAACATTTTTTATAAACCATTCTTTGTTCTTTTACTTCTATATTTAACTGTAAATTAGTAACAATTTTTTTATGGGGGGAATAGGCTAGTTATTTTCTACATCTTAAAATCTAATTTTTTTTTATTTGTTGTAGGTTTTATTGGGATTTAATAATGCTTATAATGATGGTTGGAAATCTGGTCATCATACCAGTTGGAATCACATTCTTTACAGAGCAAACAACAACACCATGGATTATTTTCAATGTGGCGTCAGATACAGTTTTCCTATTGGACCTGATCATGAATTTTAGGACTGGGACTGTCAATGAAGACAGTTCTGAAATCATCCTGGACCCTAAAGTGATCAAGATGAATTATTTAAAAAGCTGGTTTGTGGTTGACTTCATCTCATCAATCCCAGTGGATTATATCTTTCTTATTGTAGAAAAAGGAATGGATTCAGAAGTTTACAAGACTGCCAGGGCACTTCGCATTGTGAGGTTTACAAAAATTCTCAGTCTCTTGCGTTTATTACGACTTTCAAGGTTAATTCGATACATACACCAGTGGGAAGAGGTAAGCTACATCTTTTCATTTTTTTAAAGCCATTATATTATATTTTTATTATGACTTTCAAATGAACCACAGTGCTGTATGGAGTGAGTTTTTATGAAATTCATAGAAAAATTTATTTGACCACTCTTCTTGGTGAGTAAGTGACAATACTTTAATCTTCAAAATATGTGATCAACTACTGGATTTGAATCAACTGAAAAATTAGTGATTATAAAACAATAGCTTTATGCTAATTTAGTATATTTTATAACAAATCCACTTTAATCAAAATGTTTAACCATAATCAGTGCAAATCTTCCCCTACATTGGAGATTTGTCACCAATATAATAAATCTACTAAGTGCCATACTTGATAGAAATATGTAGGGTCTGGTTGCTAATCTAGTCTATCATTAACTCTATGAGGCAGTATATATTCCTTTAATATTGACAGTTTAGTAAGTTTACATTGGAATAAAACAGATTGTTTCTTCGAGCATTTTTAAGTTGTGTATATTGAGATTTATTTTAGCACAATAATTTTGCTCATTGTTATGCCTTGCTTATAATTATTTATTAATATTTTCTCCCTGTTAGTTCATTTCAAAATACTGAAAAATAGCCTACCCAGGAGAGAAATTATTGCACAGAAAACACAAATAGCAGTGAATAAAAAGGGTAAATCTGGCCAATCAAGCTCATGGTTTGCTAAATAAGGCATCTGTTGTTCTTAGGCAGTGGGTGGGATCTGAAAGGGCTCAGCCAACTGTAATTTTCAAAGATCTGAGTTAAATGTGCCATCATCAAGCAGTGGAATTTGTGTCTCTAATTATAAAGCTGCATATTAACCTTTTTAACTTTCTTTTTCTTCTAAGTCTACCTTTTTGTATTAATTATAACCTGAATGTTATTGTCTGCATAATAATGAGAGTTTAAAAGGCTCCTTGAAGGCCTAAACAGGCGCTAATGAAAGCAGTACACTGGCTGTAGGTCATTGCTTTGCTCCCTATAAAAATGCTTTTTAGCATTTTAAAAATGAATTATGCTTTTAAAGAAGTCATAAAGTGGAATTTATGTTTGCTTTCTGTGAAGTTTCTGGAGTGTTTCTGTGTGTGCTTCCCAATGACATTTTAGTTCACAGGATTTCAGGAAATGACATGCAATAATAAAACACTGCATAATACACTGATGAAAAGACATAAAAATGATTAGTTCTTAAATATGAATATGGAATAGATTTAAAATCAAATGAAGTACCTTTGAGAATTGGATTCATTTTGTAATTTTTTCTCTATCTAGCACATTCCACCTGAAAAGGAATAAATGTTTGGTTTTCAAAATGTTTTTATGTGACTCTAAATTTAATATCAAACCAAGACCTTTATTGATGATAACAATAGCTAATATTAATTGAAGGCTCATCATATGTGAAGTAATATATTTGATTCTTTACGTGCATTACCTCACTGAATTTGTCTAACACACCATTGATATAGTTACAATTATTCAGTTTTATTGGTTAAATTCACAGAGCTAATCTGAAGAGCTGGAATTCTATACTGGCAATCTTAAGCCTATGCTCTTAAACTATATAGGCTCTCATAATGGATACCCTTTTAGTTACAAATATCTTAATATTTCATTACAGTGTGTGTAAAAAATTATATAGAACTCTTCTTAAATTGGTGGTTCACAAAACATAAGAGTTGAATAATTACCCTTTAAAATAAGACCACAAAACTATTTTAATGAGTAACCTATGATAGAGAAGTCGCATGATAAAAACACAAAATCACTTAAAAATACAGTAGACAATGTGAATATTTTTAATGTTTTGTAGTTTTAACCCAGTTACCCTGGAGAATAGCAGCAGGATGAACAGATGGTACCTTATCTGATAAAATGGCAGGCCATGTGGTCATAGAAGAGGATACTCCTAAACACCAATGTCCTCTGGTTTCTGGCAGTGGTCACCGGCACTTAGGTCTGTGTAACATGATGGTGTTTTTAAAGATATCATGATATAGTCCAGTAGCATCAGCTCCCTGCCATCATTATTGTAAAATGAAATTCAATATGCACTCAAAGACACTTGGTAACCAAACACATTCAGGACAGAGTCATGAGCTGGCAAGAGCTTTCTTATAAATAAATGACCTTGCTAATAAATGAACCACAAGCTCATTTAGGTGAAGAATGCTTTCCTGTTTATATGATACCCTGATATAATATCATATATCATGGATATTTAATTCTTATTTGTCATAATGTTATATAGGGAAGAAACAGTCATTATCCAGAATTTAATACAAATTTATATTATTTTATCCACATGATTCAAACTATAATCACAAAGAATCTTGAATAAATCCCAAACTGGCAAATCTCTACCTGATTTTTGTAAATGTTACCATGATGTGTTTACAAATAGAAATACACAAAGTCAGAAGAAGTAGCTCTGTGAGCTTATGGAATAAAACTGTAGAGGAAGATGTGAGTTCACCCACATGTCTTTAAGTTCTGAGTGTTTTAGTACCAAGCTGGCTAATGCTAAATTCAGCAAATTTGGGGAAGTAACGTGTGAAGTCTGGAAGCTGCCACTGTTCTAAATGCATCATTCCCGAGGGAAGCTGCTGCCTTCTATAGGAAACTGCTTCCATCTTCAACGATACATGTTTTTCTGGTCTGAATTAGTTCAAGTGAAAAACAACAAGAAGCCCTGAAGCCAGATAAATTAGAGAAATATTATGAATGAAACACAGAAACTTTAAAATTCAGCCCTTATGTTACTATCATTCCTAAAGGTAAATGTAGTGGCTAATATGTACAGGAGGAAACACCTGATCTGGGAAACTAATTTATGAAACACATGGTGTTAAGTCAGGAGGGAAGTTGTTTTCACCAACCAATTATAAGATCAATGGCTTTAGAATGCAAAAATAGAGCTCTCCAACACTCTACTGAAACTTGATATGTATTGCCAGGTGAGGTGAAAATCTGAGGCAATTTAGATAATTCAAGCCAGAAAATTCCATTTCCTACAATCTCTACAAAGCTGAGGTCAATCTTTCTCACTCTTTTACTTGGTTTAAAAAAAAAAATCATGCTCTTAATTTAGTGATGTTATTTTTGTTTTTCAAGTAAAGAGAGTAATCCAAGCCAGACTACTATTTTGTAACCCTTCACAAGGGGAACCAATTCTGTATGATCCTCTTAAAAGAGACATACGGTGAGGAAATCCCCGGAAATTAAATGGAATATTATTAACAATTTGTGACAATCACAAGCCACTGAAGAGATAAAAAGTAGATTAAGAGATTAGTCAATAGGAGATTATTCTGTTTGGAAAGGTGAAGGTTTCCAAGAACCTCAAATACTACAGCTGCTGATCTCAGTCATATAATCAAGGGGTGATGACCCTTTAAATGTTTGTACAGATATTAATTAAAAGAGGAATTTTACTCTGTATTGACTATTTGTAGGACTCAATAACATAGATGAAGTTTAAATCTTTATGAATAATGTAAAAGTAATAATGTGGAAACACGTGATTATATAACTATGGTTTGGGACCTGTAACTATAATATTTTACTTTTTATTTCTAATTTTCTCTCTCTCCAACTTTCCTTGTATAGACTTTCAACGTATCATGATTAATTAAACACAATCTAAGGCAGGAAAGAGGGCTTTTAGTTTTGATTTTCTGGTATGTCTATAGTAATTTTAGATGAATAATGTGTCTGGACACTGCAATACTCTTCTAGCAATCAATATTAGATTTTTATACTAGTTTAGAGAGAGATTTATATACAAATTATGTTTAATAACAGAGTAGTTAAAAATGTATACTATGGGAACTAATGCAAAAACAGTGTCTGCTGGGAACCAGCAGTTAGCGTAATGGCTATGTCGCTAGACTCCCACGTAGTCGACCGCGATTCGCGTCCCGGACCCGGTGGCTTAAAACTCACGCCGGGCGTGTGTGCGTGTGTGCCCAAGATCCTGAGAGGAGAATGGAGGAGAAGGGATTGCAGCGTGACCATCCCCCCTGGGGGGTGATTTCTCGCATTCTGTCTCTATGTCTCTGTCTGGTGAGCGCACGCGCCCTATAGCGAAAACCTCTCAAAATAAACAAACAAACAAACAAAAAAACAGTGTCTGCTTTTGGTTCATTGTAGCATCCTGATTGGTTTAGAAGAGAAACTAACTCTTGATATGTTACCAACCTGTAGTTATACGACACATTTTCTTATTGCTTTAAGTTTTTAGAAAACACGTAGGATTCAAAGAATTGCAATACACGAAGAGTGGTGTTTTCTAAACTCACACCGTACTGGAACTTACAGAGCTCTATTGCCTATCACATCAAATCTGTGTCTCTTTGCTGTGCCATCAAGGGTCTCCAGCAAACTGTAGTTGTCTTTTACCATTGTCACTTCGTATTTGCAATCAACAACTCTTTTTTGTTTTCCTTTAATTTATTTTAGTTTTACAAAAAAACTGGCACAGGATTTTTCATTCTTCTTCTATAATTTTGTATTTCAGATTTGGAAAGCCTTTATTTTTCTATCACTATTTTAAAGGTCAGACTTGAACTCATCTCTAGGAAGTATTCCCCATTAATGGACTGTGCTATAATAGTCAATATGTTTATATAGAACAATTCTAGTGGTTCTGCATGGATTTATTTTTTGTGTGTAGTGTTTAGTTAGATAGATTTTTTCCTTGTTTTTGTTTTGTTTTGTTTTGTTTTGTTTTGTTTTCCTGGAGATAAACATCTACAAAGAGGAGTCAATGTCAACTTTTGCCCTTGGATATCCTTGTATACTAACTAGTACAGGGTTCTTAACACAGTAGATAATCAGGGCATGCCTCTCCACTAAATACATGGCAATCCTCCATGTTCTAAATCCATTAAATAATTATAAAGGGATATTTATTCCTCACTCCCAAGCCTTTACTGAGTAGTCTGTATGTGCAGATGCTGCAAATAAGAATACAAAGCAGATGCCAGTTTTAT